TATAAAATTATATTAAAAAATTATACAAAACTATTATTTCTCAATCATTTTCTTTTTTTTAATCAAATGGAGAAAACTGTTTGAATTATAAATTACAACTCTTATTTGTCTGATTAAAGAAAATATTAACAATCAATATTATGAAATAACTAGTATTGATAGTTGTTTTCTCTAATTTGAAAAATAAAAGTTGTTATCATCTATAAGTCAAAAACTCTTATTCATTTGATATCTGTATAAGCATGTGGGTGTTTGGACTCAATACCAAAAAAGAGTTAGAGAATTACTACCTGAATTCGGAGATAATTATCCCTTGAACCAGGGGATTGGGAAAATGTGGAGACCTGAAAGTCAACCATCTCAAGACTTGAATCCGCAAAAAAGTGAACCAACGGTGTTTTTCCATTGTCAAAGAGTCAGTTGACGATGCCCCATTACGCAGCCTAGCTGCAGTGTACCTCTCTTCATTCTTGGCCACGCCTGTGCCTCGAGACAGCACCACCATCTTCCTGCTGTCCAGGGGCCCTATTCCCACAAACTTATTGCTGTCCCTTTATATGTGGCTCAAAGTCAGTGTCTACACATCCCATCAAATCATTTATCATACATATAAATCATTAAACAGATGAAAATGAAAATTGATTGACTAATTGAGATGAAATATGTAAATTAAGCTACACTCACGGGGTTCTCTGCAACAACAACTCCATCAATGAGATTAAAGTTGCAGGTTTTACCAAGAGTATCTGTTAGGGAACGGATCCTTATTGCTGCTGGGTCCGGAGACTTTGGGCGTTGAGCCTATTATTTATTTGTTCTCGAGGAGGAAGTCTCCCTAGGAGTTGAACCTGAGGTCTCTCTTAAGAGACTTCATAGGTGACCTTAGTACCAGTTAAACTGATCCGAACGATAAGGAATCCGTCCCCTAACAAAATCACATACATGTCAGAAGACCATCCATGATGCTGCCCGGAAACACGAAAGTCAAATTTTCTTTTTTTGTTTTTTAATTTTTATTGCATAATAAAATGTAACGATTTTCTGTTTTTTATTCCATTTCACTCAAATGCTATACGATTTGAATTTAAAATTTTTTATTTCTAATGGAAAGAGATAATGACCACTAAATTATCAGTTATTTAGATTGTTGGTCAAAATCTTTTAAAAAAAAGACAAAAAAAAATCAGAATTTGGAACATATCCTGCGTCTACTAATAATATAAGCGTTATAAAACTTACAATTGAGCAGGAACCTTTCAACTCAGGAGTGGAAGAATGCATTAATTATTAAGAAAAGAAATTTCTAAACAATATATAAGCTGTTCTATATGCAAGCTCCTACGTCACAGCATCTCTACTTCAATGTGATTCAATGTTAAAACTTTCTGAATTTCGTCGATTTTTTGGGATAACACATATATTTGGAGAAATTTTTTTCACCATGTAGTAGCTCAAAACTTGTGATACAAAACCGATGTCATTTCCGTGCTCCTTCTGTACATTTAATTTACCATAAATAAAATGAAAATAAGTGATTTATATACATAAAAAATTATAAACTCAATATGTTAATCTTTTAGATCTAAAATGTTGTCTTCAAATAAACTCAATATGTTAACCTTGCTCATGCATGCCTGGTCCGGACAAGGTATCTACCTATTGTGATTTAAGAATAAACCAATTGATATATGAAACTGTAGTTGTAGAGAACTAAGGGATGTTCCAAAACTCGAATCTTCACTTCAGTTATCCTGCAAAGCCCCGAGGTGGGTCTTCGGGGTAAATATTTCGATACTTAAGTCAGCAATAATCAAAGCTACCCAGGTATGAATCAAGAGCTGAACTTGAGTTCAGTTTCAATTACCTTTTGAGGAGGACCCTGGAGGGTATTTATAACCTTCAAAGGGGCATCCACGTGTTGTTCTTCATGGACAATCAGGATCATATGTGTCAATGATCGCAGGAAGCTCTCCTGAGATATCTATGCATGTACAGAGTTACTGTAGAACAGGGGCAGAGGAGACGAACTCGAACTCGACTGAGGTCATTACTGAGCTCATTATTCTTCAGTCAAGGTGACTAGATTAGGAAATAGCTTCGACTGTTCGAGGTTATGTACCTCGGACTATTATGAGGTACGTAACCTCTGACTACCAATGTACCTTTGATATCTCGACCTCTAACTAGATTAGGGAATAACTCCGACTATCCGAGGTTATGTACCTCAAACTATTATGAGGTTCGTGACCTCCAACTACCAACATACCTCTAATATCTCATGACCTCTGACTACCACTACACTATTCTCCCTCGAAGTCATTCACTTGTGAATGATACGAGTTCGTGTTGGGGTTGAGTCGAGGTGAGGATGTCATGGCTTGGGGTCCAAAGATGAAAAGCGAAGGTTGAAATGCAAATACGATTGGCGGTCGTGTAACATATTGTCAGAGCCAAAGTGACCATATAATGACAAGGTCGTCATTCATGGCCAAAGTCAAAGTGACAATATAATGACACGTGGTCATGTGATGTACAGCTTGAGCCGAAGTGAAGATATCATGACTCATGGTCGTGTAATGTATGGTCGGAGTCGAAGTAAAAATATCATAACTCAAGGTCATGTGATGTATGGTCGAAGCCGAAGTGAAAATATCATGACTCGTGGTCATGTGATGTATAGCAGGAGCGAAGTGAAAATATCATGACTCGTGATCATGTGATGTATGACTGGAGCTGAAGTGAAAATATCATGATTCGTGGTCATGTAATGTATGGTTAGAGCTGAAGTAAAAATATCATGACTCGTGGTCATGTAATATACGGTCGAAGTCAAAGTAAAAATATCATGACTCGTGGTCATGTAATGTACGGTCGGAATCGAAGTGAGAATATCATGAGAGAATGTAAGTTTGATTAGAAAGAAATTAACATAGTCAAATTGAAAGTAAATCGTGTAAAGAGGACTTGAAGAGGAACTGAAAAGAAAAGAAAAGAAAAGAAAATAAATTAATTCGGACTGACAGATGTCGTGTGGCGTGCTGCAATAAATATTGTCAGGAATAACTGTCAAATTCGAAAGGACACGATCATGGTCGCTGGATGCGAGCGATCGTGACCGTTAAAGTGGAAGTAGGGCTTAGTATAAATAGGCAAACTTGAGTTATCATAATTTTACCTTGCTGAATTTATAGCGGAGCCCTGCCGAAATCAAACTAGAGCACCTCGTTGCCCGAGATAACAATTGTCGAGTTTGAAGTCGAAGTTGGGACGTGATTATAGCGTGAGTATTTGCAAGTGTTTCACTTTGGTTATACAGAAGTCAAGTAACTCTGAGCTCTACCTCTGGCTTATATGATTTGATTTACTTGAACTTAGAATTAGGTCATAGTTAGGGTAGTTAGATATTGATTAGCAAGTGAGGTATGGGAGGATAGAAATTATAGGAGATTTTGATTTCTGTTTGTGACGTATTCCTTGTAGTGAAAATTTTGGTGTCAAAGATGTTTTTTCAAGGAACCTTGAGTGTTGGAAGGGAAGGACAAGTGGGGAACCTAAATTCAAGTTCGAGCTAATATAGTCGTAGTCAGAGGTCATGAGATATTAGAGGTACGTTGGTAGTCGGAGGTCATGTACCTCACAATAGTCTGAGGTACATAACCTTGGACAGTCGGAGCTATTCCCTAATCTAGTCAGAGGTCGAGATATCAAAGGTACGTTGGTAGTCAAAGGTCATGTACCTCATAATAGTTCGAGGTACATAACCTTGAATAGTTGGAGCTATTCTCTAATCTAGTCACCTTGATTGAAGAACAATGAGCTTAGTCGAGTTCGAGTTCGTCTCCTCTACCTTTGTTCTACAGTAACTTTGTACATACACAGATATCTCAAGAGAGCTTCCTACGATTATTGACACATATGATCCTGATTGTCTATGAAGAACAACACGTGGATGCCCCTTTGAAGGCTATAAATACCTCCCATGATCCTCCCCAAAAGGTAATTGAAACCGAACTCAAGCCCAGCTTTTGATTTATACCTGGTAACTCTGATTATTGGTGATTTAAGTATCGGAGTGTTTACTCCGAGAACCCACCTCGGGGTTTTGCAAGATAACCGAAGTGAAGAATCGAGTTTCGGAACATCCCCTAGTTCTCTACAACTACAAAAACTAGAAGTCGACAATGCAAGATTTCATTCATCCACCTCTCCTCAAATTCATAGCCTTAAAAGAAGTTGATCAGAAACCAAGAAGAATCAAAAAATGTACCTGATTCAGAGTTTATTCTTCTCCCCACAGCTTGCTTGATTCATCCTCCCCTCCTCCTCAACTGCTCCGCCGCCACCCCTAATTTCTTCGGATTTTCGTTTGCATCTCAGTTTGGTTTCTCCATTTTTCCTTTTAGGAGAAGGTTAAACGCTCTTAAATGTATCTTTTATGTATTAATTACATAAAAAATAAAAAATAAAAAAATCTGACATCAATTTTAAGGTATATGTCATGCATATTTTTTATTAAATAATTAGTAAATTTAATGTCAGTTTATATTTT